TAATTATAACCTCCCCATTTTTGCTACTTTTTAATTTATTATTATTATTTATTTGAGAGAGAGAGAGAGAGAGAGAGAGAGAGAGAGAGAGAGCGCGCAGAGGGAGTGGCAGAGGGAAAGAGAGAGAGAATCTTAAGCAAACTCCACACTCTGCACATGCACAGAGCCCAATGTGGGGCTCAATCCCACAACCCTGGGATGATGACCTGAGCCAAACCAAGAGTTGGGTGCTCAAGCAACTGAGCCACCCAGTTGGCCTTATTGCTAGTTTATAAGTCACTGATGCATGTTCTGTATCCACCAGTGAGTCTTGAACAGAAACAGCATCTCAGAGGATATCCTTCCACAATAAAACAGAACTTACAACACACCAAGATCTAAGAGAGGAAAATTTTTTTTAAGAAAATAATATCTTCAGCTTTTCATTTTACCTTTTCTTTGAGGCTACTAAGATGATAAAAATACCAAAAAACTAATTTAGTAACTACTGAAATGGATTAATTCATAGAATAGTCTGTGTGTTGATTTCTTATCCATGAGAGGAAGATGAAAAGCCTCTTCTTTCCCATTGTCTGTAGATCCAGGGAGAGACGTTTCCATACTTCTTCTGAGAAGTACAGGAAAAATAAGGCAATTCCTCATTTGGATGGCATTCACTATTATAACTTATTCATGCATAAAGAAAGAATTAAAAGTAAACATTAGATTTCACAAAACTGGTATTTATTTATACATGTAACTTAATGTTTTTTTTTTTTTTTCCCTTAGCAGTTATTTACTAGCATATATTTCCTAGAGGAAAATAATCTGGAAAGTGTCAGGATTTTGTATGCATCTAATTTAGTGTCTAGTAAATTAGTAGCTCCTCATGATAATTCATTGTCATAGAACTTAAGAAAGAGCTCAGTTGTATAGGACATTAAAGAATTTTGTTTTAATTTCCATAACTTAACTTATGGCAATGCTGAAATATTAATGCTAGAAAATTTACTGCAAATGAAGTTTGGTAGAAGAAACACAACTTTACTCTCATTATTGACATCTGATAAAAGCAAGTCACTTAGTTTAGCTAAATGTTACTTTGATTGCATTTATACTTAAGTTCATGTACATAGAATATGTTTATTTTGTCAGCTTTTGCCTAGAAATAAGTGAACTTGAGTTTAATTATTAAGTAAAATAAAGTGATAGTGATAATTTGGGACTAAAAAATGGTGATTACAATTTAAAATTGTAGTTTTTTAATTGACCTGTTTCTGATTGACCTCTTTGATTGCTCTCATCCTCTTTCTTTCATTTCCTGCTTGTTTCCTTCCGAACTGCATCTTGTTACCTTTGATATAAAAGTAGTAGTTAACTCAAAGTGAATTTGAGAGTTAATGAAAGACCTTTCGGGTGAAAACATGGCACTGTCTGCAGCATAGTGGAAGCCACTTTTCCTTTCCTTCTATCAACTCTAATTCTTGGTATGTTTGGGGGTATGATTTTTGGTACTGAAAATTTGTCTGGCATCAAAAGTAAATGAGGAAGAAAATGCCTCTAAAGTCTCCTTTTCCTTATTCTTTCCTTACTATTCCCTTACATTTTTTTTCTTCTTTTTATTTCCCTTACCCTCAATGGTTTGTTAGGAGCATTATTTTTTAATCACTATTTTTTTTAATGTTTATTTATTTTCGAAAGAGAGAGACATAGTGTGAGTGGGGGAGGGGCAGAGAGAGAGGGAGACACAGAATCCAAAGCAGGCTCCAGGCTCCGGGCTGTCAGGACAAAGCTCGATGCGGGGCTCGAACCCACAGACTGTGAGATCATGACCTGAGCCGAAGTGGGATGCTCAACTGACTGATCCATCTAGGCACCCCCAGTCACTGTTCTATGAAGGATAAAGAACATAATTTTCTTTGTTATACAAAATTTCCCTTCAAAATGTTTTCCTTCATGTTACAGCAATTCATCTCTTTTATGGTCAAATAACCCTAAGAGGAGATGCAACTAATATTCTATAAGGATTTAGAGAAGGAAGGAATGCCTTAAATTGGGTGGTGGGGAAAGAAATAGGGGGATTCGGGACACCTGGGTGACTCAGTTGGTTATGTGTCTGACTCTTGGTTTCGGCTCAGGTTGTAGTCTCATGTGAGATCCAGCCCTGCATCAGAGTCCCCTGAAATCCCAGAGCCTACCTAAACTTCTCTTTCTCCCTCTCTCTCTGCCCCTCACTGTTCACTTGTGTGCTTTCTCTCTCAAAATAAATACATAAATTAAAAAAAAAAAGAAGTAAGAGGATTAGGAAAAGATTATAAAAGGTATTAGTGGACATTCTAAATGTTCTAAAAAGGCAAAATGAAGAAAAAGATAAGATCACATATAGGAAAATATTCTATCAGGCATTAGTATAGACTTAATTGTATCTCTCAAAAAATCCACATATAGAAGTTCTAATCCCCTGAACCCCATAAATAGACCATATTTGGAGATAAGGTCTTTAAGAGGTAATCAAGTTAAATGGAATCATTCAGGCATGGGCCTGAATTCTGTGTAACCTGTGTCCCTAGAAGAAGAGGAAGTTTGGACACACACATGTCTAGAGGGAAGAAAACATGAAAACACAGAATATGGCCATCTGCAAGTCAAGAAGAGTCCTAAAACAGACCCTTCCTCCCTAGCCCTTAGAAAAAACCAACCCTGCCAAACATTGATCTTAGACTGTTAGCCCTCAGAACTGTGAGAAAATACATTTCTTTTGTTAAAGCTGCCTACTTAATGGCACTTTGTTGCAATAGTCCTAGCCAACTGATATAGTCACATTATGAAATGACTTGGGTTGTATATGGGTGACAATTTTTTATTCAATTTCAAAATCTTTAAGTGTATATTAGAAAAATCAATAAACATTGTTTCAAACCCACTCTAAGTTATTATATTTTGCAATTGCTTACAATAAGGCAATAGTAAATGAGGAAGGGATTGAAATAAGATAGTTATTAATATAAGTATCATGTAACAATGAGAAAGATGTTACATAAATATGAAACAAAGCTCTTGAGAATAGTATTGGTAATACAATTTTTAAATTCCGAGAGACAATTATAGTGAATGTAATTCATGGAAAACTCAGTATTATTTTAATTTTGTCTTTTAAAATAATACCACAAGTTATCACAAGTAAGGATTAGTGATTTGTTGAAATTTCAGTATGAATCACATGCTCTGTGAATCTAGTGGGTACATGTGAGATACTGGATTGAAGAAGAAACATAGCAACTAGCAACTATATATAAATATAGTTATGCTATTTAAGCATTCTAAGAGAATTTGTATTTATGCTTATTTAACTAGCTGACATCAGAATATTAGAAAATGTGGGTTCACTGTCTTTGACTCTTTTTTTTTTGCTGAATTAGATTGCTTAGTACAATGAATGATGTTAAAATGATTGAATTAAAATATATGTGAGTAATATCCAGGGTCTACTATATTGAATTATAGGAGAAGAAAGTTTTCCCGAGGAGAGCTTGTAAAAAACCTAAAATTCTGGCCTAGGCAGTTTGAAGTTTATTCTTTTTTTTATTATTTTTTAATGTTTATTTATTTTTGAGAGACAGAGAGACAGAGCATGAGTGGGGAGGGGGGAAAGAGAGGGAGACACGGGATCTGAGGCAGGCTCCAGGCTCTGAGCTGTCAACACAGAGCCTGACATGGGGCTTGAACCCACGAACTGGGAGATCATGACCTGAGCTGCAGTCCAACGCTTAAGCAACTGAGCCACCCAGGTGCCCCTGGAGTCTATTCTTTTGGTCAATGATGTAGTTGAAGATTTATAAGTAAAGGAAGGGCACATTCTCAGCTGAGGCAGGAAATCTGTTGCAATGTGTCAGAGATCACAGGAAAGGAAACTGTCAGCCAAATGACAAAGAGAATATTGAATAGCACAGTCCAGAAGGAGAAGTTAGGATCATGATATTCTGATGGGAATGCAAGTAAAGTATTTTGGAAAATGCCCCGAATATATGACATGCTTCTGGGCATGGATGCAAACAGCATGTAATAGAAAACCTGTACCATCTGACCCGGAGAAGGGAAGGAAAGGAGGAGTCAGTTCAAGGAGACCAAAAGAAGAACAGAGCTGTCCGGCCGTTTGCCTAGAGCTTGTTCTCAATCTACTGAAGACTGATGGGGAAATACAACATGCTTTTCTCACTTTAACACAAACTTAAAACACTTTCAACGGCTGTGATTTCAATGTTAGCAAATTCAATTCTAAAAAAGAAGCTTCAGTAGAATTGTCTGCTTTTGTTTCCCCCACTTCCCTTATATTTAGTAAGTGGTACAGAAGAAGAATACTGTGAATAGTTACTTAGCATTTTTAAGTCCTTCACCTCATATATGTGGATGACTAGTAGGGCTGTCATTATTACATTATTGATTATGACTATCATTAATAGAAATTGTTTAAAATGATAAAAGTTAAGCTATTATTTCCAAGTTTTCTTTTAAAATTGCAAAGTGGACATTTAATATTTATTTAAGTGATTACTAACAATCTCTCAAGTATATCATGGAGAGATAAAATAATATATTAATATGGCTATTAGAATCCAAAATAAAATTATCTTGATAAATAGTATCTGATGACAATAAAAATAATACTTTGAGGTGTTACATATTTGCATCACATTTCATAATGCTATATATTTTCATATTGATTATCTCACCTAAGACTCAAAGAAAAAGAGTGATATAGTCCTTCCTGCCATTCTGTGTGTGAAGAAATAGAATTTCAGGATAAGTGATATATCCCAGGTAACACACTATTAAGTGTCAACACAGAGACTGAAGTCCTTATTCACTCCTGGTATCCCAATACTTCTTTATATCAACAATATAACCTGACTCATATATGGATTTTTTTTAAATTCATATTTTAAGATTATAGTACAGCAAAATCTTGGTTTGTGAGCATAATTCATTCGAGAAACATGCTTGTAATCCAAAGCACTTGTATATCAAAGTGAACCTCCCCACAAGAAATAATGGAAACTGAGATGATTTGTTCCATAACCCCCAAATTTTCATATAAAAATGATTATAGTACTGTAATATAATACAAAATAATGAAGAAAATACAAAATATAAAGAAAAAAACAAATTAGCCTTCACTTGCCTTTGAAAACCTTTGTGGCTGGTGTGAGGGAGATAAGAGAGGGGAGGGTTATTATGCAGGGCAACATTCACTATTGCTAACAGAATCATTGCTATCTACTGGTTCAATGGAATCTTTTTCTTTTGGAATCTGTCCAGTGACACTTGCTTTTGCCTCCTTTTGAGTATTTCACAGAAATGTGACATTGCATTGTCATTAAACAGATTCATCGCTTGCACCACTACAGTCTTATTTGGGTGGTGCTTTTCTATAAAATTTTGCACTGTCTCCCACATTTTACACATCTCCCTAATCTCATTTGAAGTGAGGGATTCCTCTGCCTTTTTCTCCTCCTCCTCTTCAGACCACATGCAAATGTAGACTTCTTATAAAGCCTTGCAATTTCAGTCATGCGCATACCTACTTCATACTTCTCCACAATTTCCTTCTTTTAAAAATTTTTTAAGGTTATTTATTTTAGAGAGAGAGAGAGAGAAAGAGCAAGCATGAGCCAGGGAGGGGCAGAGAGAGAGACACAGAATCTGAAGCAGGCTCCAGGCTCCGAGCTCTCAGGGGCTTGAACTCACAAGCTGTGAGATCATGACCTGAGCCGAAGACAGATGCTCAACCAACTGAGCCACCCAGGCGCCCTTTGGTAATTTCCTTCTTAACTTCCATCCTAACCATCTCCTTTTTACTGCCTTTCTTTTCAACCTTTTCTGCATGGGGGCCATTGTATACGTTTGCATGGATGTTGACTGCAGTGCAGTATTACTAAACTCTTGTCATATACTGTATTCAATGTACCTGGCAATAAGGCAGCAGAGGAAAGGGTCTATATCTGCAGGCAGCCTGACCTAGAATGAAGCAAACATTCCTAAGCTTACTCTTGTATGGAAAACAAAGGACTGTCCATAGGTGCTTTGAAGTGACAAAAAAATACACCAGTGCCAGTTGTGGGCACCTTCCAAGTCACTGATTCTGCCAGACCGTGGCCTGAGATTGAGCATCCGAGCATGGGAGATGATCACCCACAATCCCGCAAAGAGAGAGAGAGACAGAGAGAGAGAGAGAGAGAAGAACCATTGGCTTAATTCTTTTTTTTTTTTTTTTAACATGGAAGCTTCATGAATTTGTGTGTCATCCTTGCACAGGGGCTAATAACTTCTGTATCGTTCCAGTTTTAGTACATTGCTGCTGAAAGTGAGCACTGGCGCAGTTATGATCATGTGACATTTGGCAACACCTGCTACTCTTATTGCAAGACATTGTTTATCAACTTGAAATTTATTAGAAATGTTTGCTCTTCTTGCAGAACGCTTACGCAATAAGTTACTCGCAACCAAGGTTTTACTGTATTTTCATTTTAGTTTTCCTTTAAACAATTTTCCTTTTATTTTTCTTTTGTGATTCATTTTTCTTTAAACCAATAAAGATGCAGGCATTCAGATTAAATATGATAAATTTCCAGAAACATACAACTTAATCAAGACTCATATGTAAATATAAAATCTGAACAGACTGATAAGGAGTAAGGGGATTGAATTAATTATCAAATACTTCCCAACAAAGAAAGCCAAAAAGCAAATGGTTTCACTGGTGATTTTTTGCAAACATTTAAAAACTTAACTAATTTTTTTCTAACTCTTACAATAAAAGTTGAAGAGCAGAGCATTCCAGACTCATTTTTAAAGGCTAGTCTTACTTTTATATTACAGCCAGATGAGGATACCACAAGAAAAGAAAACTACAGGTCAATATCTTTGATGAAAAATCTCAACAAAATATTTGCAACCCAATTAAGCAACACAGTAAAATCATCATACACCATGAACAAATGGAATTTATCCCTGTGATACGGGATAGTAGCATATACAGATCAATAAATGTGATATACCACGGGAATAAAATGAAAGATAAAGCCATGTGATATTTCAATAAATTCAGAAAAATAGATTTTTACAAAATTCAACATTCTTTCATGGTAACAATTCTCAATATTTTGTGCTTCTGTGGTATCTATCAGTTGTAATGTCCCCTTTCATTTCTGATTTTATTTCAGTGCAGCTACAGCAGTTCTAAGAGGGAAATTTATAGCTATATATGCCAACATTAAGAAAAATGAGGGGCGCCTGGGTGGCTCAGTCTAGTGAGTGTCCAACTTCGGCTCATGTAATGATCTCATTGTTCTTGCATTCAAGCCCTACTTCAGGCTCTGCACTGACAGCTCAGAGACTGGAGCCTGCTTCACATTCTGTGTCTCCGTCTCTCTCTCTCTCTCTCTCTCTCTCTCTCTCTCTGCCCCTCCCCTACTTGTGCTCTCTCTCTCTCTCTCTCCCCCTCTCTCTCTCCCTCTCTCAAAAATGAATAAACATTACAAAAGAAAGAAAGAAAAATGAAAGTTCTCAAGTAAACAACCTAACTTCATACCTCAAGACAATAGAAAATAGAACAAAACTAAGCCCCAAATTATCACTAAAAAGGATATGACAAGGATCAGAGCAGAAATAAATAAAACAGAACAGAAGAAAACTCAATGGAAAAGATCAATGAATCTATGAGCTGGTTAAAAAAAATAAATAACAAGCCTTTGGCTAAGGAAAAAGGCTTTGTCCTATTAACAGTATCATGAAAATTTTTTTTTAATTTTTTTTAATATTTATTTATTTTTGAGAGACAGAAATGACAGAGCACTAGTGGGGGAGGGGCAGAGAGAGAGGGAGTCACAGAATCCAAGACAGTCTCCAGGCTCTGAGTTATCAGCACAGAACCTGACGCAGGGTTCAAACTCAGGAACCATGAGATCATGACCTGAGCCAAAGTTGGATGCTTGACTGACTGAGCCACCCAGGCATCCTGATAATATTTAATTTTAATGAATTTTCATTCCCTTTCTCTTTTCTATTTCCTTATCTGCATATATAACATAAATCATAACAGAAAATTTAGTGTTGCACTCTCATAAGAAGGTTACCAAACCTGGAAAAACTTATCATACTTATTAAAAAGATGTAAGACAGAAGTCTGAAAGAAACCAAGATGCTCAAACACGTATCCATATAAGAAAAAAACTAATGAGGAAAAGCATATTTCTGTCCTATTTTGTCTGGAACTGCTTCTTTTCATTCGGGTCTTGGGCATGTCATTTTCATGGCTAACTTATACACAATATTATTAATCAATTGCTTAGGGAGACCTTGAATGTTCAAGGTGAGACCTGTTTGAAGCTTAATTAATGATTGTATGATAGATCTAGGGATATTCTTCAGATATTTTAAGGAAATAAGTGGAGAATATTTTGGTAGGTCTTTCAGAAATTTTAAGTGATTTGACAATTTTCAGTTCTCCGAGGTAATGTTTAGTTGATTACATAGAGCCATGGTGAACATATAGAGACATATTTTCACTAAAATGACCTTTTTGGATTTTTTTAATTGGACCACACAACGTTTTCAGTTAGAGTCTAGCTGACAAGAACTGTTTTAGGTTTGTTCAGTAGTTCACAATTTGAAACTCATTCATAGATGTTTTTAGACATGTTTCCATGTTTCTCATATAGATATATAAAATAAAACAAAACAAAACCTGAGGAGACATATCTTGTCCATAAATTTAAGCCAAATCAATAGTTTTCTCATTTGTGATTTAATACATAAATAATTATGCTAAAATTTGTTTTTCCTAGAGATATTTTTCACAGTTGAGGTTGATTATGCATCTGTAGGGATTCTTGTCCTACTTTGTTACCAGATGTTCAACCAAGGCATAGTCTAGCCTAGCAAGCAAATGCAGCCTATTTCTGGATTCTCAATGTGTTGCAATGCACCTCTCATTAGAAGGTCAAAAGCATTATAGTCAAGATGCTTATGTTATTGTGAAATGACTGAAAATATTTTTTATGTGTTTATTATTTATTGAGCAATTATAATGGTTCATTTTATGTGTCAACTTGACTATTCCAAGAGATGCCCTGAGAGCTAAACATTTTTTTTTTTTTTTTTTTTTTTGTGGGTGTGTCTGTCAGGGTGTTTCCAGAAGAGATTAGCATTAGAATTGGTTGACTGAGTAAAACCAATGGCTCTCTCTGTTGTGGTTGAGTATCACTGAATCTATCTAGGGCCTGAATAAAACAAAAGGCAGAGGAAAGTGGAGTTTGCTCTCTGACTGACTGTTAGAACTAGGACATCAATCTCCTTAAGCGCTCAGTACTCATGGTTCTCAGGCCTTCAGACGTGGACTAGGATCTACACCATCAGCTTTCTGGGTCTCACACCTCCTATCTATACCACTGGCTTTCTTGAATTGTCCAGCTTGCAGATGGAAGATCATGAGACTAGCACAATGCTAGATACAACATGGCAAAAGTCGGCCAGATACTTTTCCTGCCTTCATGGAATTTATAGTCCAGTAGAGAAAAGAACATCATATGAATACTCAAAAAAGGAAGTACAATTACAAAATTAGATAATTTCAGTGATAGAAAAATTCAAGAATTTAGGTAAGATTGAGGAAGGATAAGAGAGATGTAACGGGGAAGACATGTTTGTCTAGTGATGTCTAAGCTGAAGCATAAAGGAAGCACTTGTATTAATCAAGTAAAAAGTGATGTGTAGATTATTTCATCTAAAGAGACAGGTACCTGCAAAGACCTAGAGGTTGAAGAGGCCTGTACTTGTTGGAGAAACTAGAAGGCCAGTATGGACTGATGTGTCCTGAGTGAAGCAGAAAGCACTGCAAGATAAGGATGGTGAATAGGCACATCCTTGTGCAACCTAGGAAGGAATTTTCTTTTCAAGTTGACCATAACCAGCTAACATGGATGATTTTCAGGCAGGCAATGCATGTTCTCACTGCCAGTTTTGAGTAGACTAAGAGGGAACCCATTAGTATCAGCTGGCAGGCAATGTTCTGGGAAAGTTAAGATGGGTGCAGGAACTGGAGTAGTAATGTGGAAATGAAGATATGGATGTAGATTTAAGACATATTTGGTGACCCATCTAATGATGTGCTGCTTGTGGAGAGGGGACGAGGAGAAGAGATGCATTAAGGGTGATTCCTGGATTTTTTGATATGGGCAGCCAGGTAGATCGGGGTAATTTATTGAAAAGAGAAATAAGAGGAGGACCACACACACTAATCATATCCAACTTTTACATACCTCTCACAAAGACAGACGAGGTATTTAAGAACTTACACAGATCAAACCCTAAAATGTGATGATACAGGATGTACCTTTGAAATAAAATTGGGCTAGGCATAAAAACTGAGTACATGTTAGACCACACACTAAAAGCCAATGAATTGCCAGGGTAAGAGTAATAAAAACACCATTCTCTGCACCTTAAGCATAATACTAAAAATTCATAACAAAATGTAAAATTTCCCTACCGTTTAAAATTAAATTTAAAATAAAAGCCTGCTATTAACTGTTGAGCCAAAGAATCTATATAAAATTAAATTTCAAAATTTCTTGAGATAGTGATAATGGAAACAAAATACATCAGAGTCATGGTATAAAGCTAGAACATTGTCAGAGGAAAATTTATAGCATTAAAATACCTATGTTAATGGATATGAAAGTAAATGAGGTGAATTCCAAAACCTCATTTTCAAAAAAGAATGTTTACTTATTTATTTTGAGAGAGAGAGAGAGAGGTAAGGGCAGAGAGAGGGAGAGAGAGAATCCTAAGCAGCCTCCGTGTTCTTAACACAGAGACTGACATGGGGCTTCTTCTCACAAACTGTGACATCAAGACCTGAGCGGAAATCAAGAGTTGATGCTTAACTGACCGAGCCACCCAGGCACTCCCAAAATCTCGTTAAAGGAACAGAAAAGTTAAACTAAAAGAAATGACATAATAAATAGAAAATCAGAAGTATATCAAATAAATTGATAAATGTTAAATATTAATGAACACAACCCAGCAACAAATTAATTATACATCATGACCAAGTATATTTAATTCCAGAGCACAAGCCTATTGAGATATAAATATACCAATTAATAAATTCTTTCATATTAATAGACCCAAAAGAAAAAAAATATATGATCATCTCTATATATTCAGAAAAGATGTTAGCAAAATTAAACACTCATCAGATAATCAGTAAAATGGGAGTTTATGGATAATTATTTAACAAGAAAACTGCATATACCTCTGCCAAAAATGCAGCATCTTACCTAGATGAGCAATTAAGAATTTCTCACTGAATTCAAGGAGAATACCCACGATTTCCACAATATTTTAAACATTGTGTTGGAAGAATTTACCAACACAGGAATAGATAATCAGAGGTGTAATAATATGAAAGGAAGAACATTTTTTTGGTTAAATCTCCTTTCATAACTGTAGATGATAGTAAAATTGGTATACAAAATCAATAGCCTATATACATGTGTACATATATTAATCTGTACATATATCAGAAGATATAATGGAAGAGAAGGTTCAGTTTAAAATAGAAATAAAAATAAAATACATATAAGTAGCTTAACAAGAAATATTAAAAACATAAATGGAAAAGTTATATAAAACATTCCTGAAGTACTCAGAAAAAGAATTCATCAAATGAGAAGACTTATTAACATCCATAAACAAACAAACAAACAAAAAATTACAAAGATGTCAGTTTTCACTGTTACATTGTATTATATTATATTTGTTATATTATATTATATTTGAATCAGTCCCAGTAAGGTAACATCTCCACCCCCAGGATATTATGCTGAAGTGGCTTGTTTGCATGATTTTCTCTCTGCTATTCCATAAACTAATTGAGTGGAGTAAATTAGTCTTTTCACCTTTCATGACTATCACAGGATCAGTGACACAGTAAGCACTTAAATATCCATTTGATGAATAATTAAAGAAAAGTAACACTGGATTATACTGTATTTATTATTTTCTGTGATTTGATAGTTCAACAAAAGCCAGCTTGAATAGCGTATATACTTAACTTTGAAGATTGTCATAACTTTGTACCATGTCTTCTTTTTAAAAAAATAATAAAAATTTTGAATAGAAGGGAAAAAAAGTTGCAAAAGTCTTACTAGTAATATATAAATTTCTTTCTCCCTCTGCTTCTCTCCCCTGCTTGCATGCCCTCTCTCACTATAATAGATAATAATAAGTAGTAATAAGAAAAATATTGATTAGCAGAGAAAAAAAGTTGCAAAATTCTTACTAGTAAGAGATAGAGAAAGCATTTAATGAGCTCTGCAAACAGTGCTAGTGTGCAAATTACAAAGCAGTTACATGTTCTGTTTGATTTTATGCCTCTAAGCCATATATTTATTCAGCATATAGTAACCAACTGCCCTTTCCCGGGATCTAGAGCTAGAAAGATAAAAACAGTCCATTATCTGAAGAAATAATCTTTTTCTCCCTGATAAATGTGGTCGTATTTCTATATGTGCATAGAATATGTATATATATGTGTAGATATACACATACACACAAAAATATACATATAAAAATATTCTATGTTGAGACCTCTTTTAAAGGAAAACTATATAAACAATAATGGTATTATAAATAATTTATATAATGACAGTAGAAGACTACAGAGTCTATCTCAGTGTATTAGAGTCAAAATGAAATTTAGCCCCTGGGTCTCTGTATGGCGTAAATCTACACATCATCTTCCAAAAAGTTAAGAACCTTGTGTTGGAGTGGTATGTAGGATTGTTAGGAAGAGAATTGCTTTCTCATTCAGATTCAAAGTATACAGAATAAGATCCTATTCTTCTGAATCAACTGTATTCGCATTATTTAAATGAAAATTATACAGTTAAAAGAGGTTGACATATGTTCCTATGCTGAAGATCACATAAAAAATATTCTTAAAAAGGGATTAGTAAACGTACATTTTCTACCAATACTGTAAATTCCATTTTCTACACATCTGCTTGATGCATCTGCTTCTCTCTCGCCATGATCTGACCACAGCCCATATCCCTCCACTCTCCAATTCACTTAACAAGCTCCAGCTGTACTGACTGTTCTCCAAAGCTCTACAGTGGTCTTAATCTTTCTTCCTATAATTAGCACAATGAGCAGAGAGCCAGTGTTCCCTCACTACTCTCAATCAAGGAGGAAAATTGGATTGAGAAGGGATTGGCAAGAATGTGTAGAAACAGAAGTGTTATAATCGAGTGAAATCTATGCCTACCCATATGCAAGGTACCTTCCAGAAGGCTCCCTTTACTGAATTTACTCTTATCTATTGAATTTACGGAATACTCACCTGATTTGGGTAGCTATTTACTTTTGATTTACTTTTTATGGAAATATTCCCTTTGCTATGTTCTAAACGAAAACACCATGAACCAAATTACCCATGAACTGCTACTCCTGTGGTTTGAAGAAATCTCTGTTTTCCTGAAGTTCTGATATGACTGTGGGAGGGGGGAAAGGAGGGAAGATCTAAACTTTCTCTTTTCTATGGCTTGGAGTACATTTGAGAAAAGTGCACTGAGGGGACAAGGGAAAAACATCAGGCCACTGAAACTTTAATTTTTTTTTAATGTTTATTTATTTTTAAGAGAGAGAGAGAGGAAGAGAGAGAGGGAGACACAGATCTGAAGCAGGCTCCAGGCTCTGAGCTGTCAGCACAGAGCCCACACGGCACAGGGCTCTAACTCATGAATTGTGAGATCATGACCTGACCCGAAGTTGGACTGGACTCTCAACCAACTGAGCCACTCAGGTGCCCCCAGGTCACTGAAAACATTAAAGTCACAGTTGATTGTAAACTAAATTAGTCAACAAGGGATTATGATCTTTCTGTCTGGAGTTAAACCCTCTATAAATATGTCACAATATAATATTTAAGGATCTTTATCTCTCTCTCTCTCTCTCTCTCTCTCTCTTTCTCTCTGTCTCTCTTTCTCTCTCTCTCTCTTTTTTTTTTTTTTTTTTTTTTTTT